CTGCCCTATTTGCTTTGGCAACTCTTTGATATCAGATCCTGCAAGGCTGAGGACTTGCAAATTCTCCAGCTCTCCCATCATTGTGCCTATGTTTGCGGCTCCTAACTCAACTTGATCCAGACACAAAGTACGAAGGTTTTTTGGGGGGGAAATTAAGGAAGGGATTGACAAAAAATTCATTTTCGACAAACTCAAGACTTTGAGTCCTTCCTTATCCCTAAACAAGTTTGGTGGACTTACTAGAGAAGGACTCTTTTCAGACAAATGAAAGAAAGTAAGTTTCGGACATTTCAACTCATCTGGAAGCTGACTGGTGTCCCCATTTGATAAATAAATCCATTTGATGCTCTCCATCGCCTCCATGTGTGACCAGTTGATTGGTGCGTCTTCTGTTAAAGCCAACACGCCATACTCCTTAGAGACAGTCGATGTGGCAAAATCTCGAACAAGATCGTGCATATCGAAGTTCAAACTGCTACCACTATCCAGCAACAAAGAAGAATCTTTGAGTTTAGTCACCAAATTTAGCACTTGAGCTCGTGCTTCCTCTAGAGATTTGACTCCTGGGAATAAGCCCAAGCCTATGCCATATTTCAACAAGTTTTGAATGGTTGCATTCTGACCCAGTAGACTGCAAAGCAAGAAAATTTGATGGAGTTCGTTGCTTTTCAAACCACTGTAATGCAACTTGATAGCTGAATACAGGCTTTGTGGTATCTGACTTGAATTCAGCTGATCAAAGGGCGGGCTTTGTAGCTTTCGTAAAGTAGTCTTCCACTCAATCAGATTCCTTCTTCTCAAGGCATTTGCGAGTGTTGCAACAGCAATGGGCAAGCCCTCACACTTCTTGGTAATCTCATTTGCATAAAACGGCAAACCACGACTTTTATCTGGATCATCAGCTATCTTCTTAAATAGGTTCCATTCGTCTCCCCAAGCTAAGCTGCCAATTTCAATTTGTGTTTCCGATATATGAGATACAACATCTCTATCTCTAGAGGTCAGCAGAAGTTTGTAAGATACAACATTGTCTTCTTCCTTCCCATTTATTCCAAGCAACTCCAAAGATAATTCTGGCTTCCATAAGTCGTCCAAAATCACGAGGACCTTCTTTTCTATCAGCCCTGTCTCTTCATTAGAAACACGTGCAATTTCATCTTGAATTCTTGGTAAGTCTGGATTCCTACCCACAGTTGCCATTAGAACTGCATCAAACAATCTTTCTTGCTCAGCTCTTCTTTTAACTTCTCTAACCATCATTGTCTTCCCCATACCAGGCTTCCCGTGCACTCCTATCTTGTTGATGCCAGGACTTCGTAGTGCCTCCATGATGTCCTTCAAAACACCACTTCTCGATTCAAAGTCCTCAAAACGATCAGCAGCCACTTTCTCTTGTCGATAGGAAAGTGGGATGTCGGAGAATCCACGAGCTTCTTGAACATGTGCAGCAATATCCTTGCATATCTGCTCCGCCTTCTTTCTAAGTTGGAAAAGAGACTTCCCACGTTTCCCAACATCTTCTAGCAAATAGTGTGCTCTCTGAATGAAATTTGATGTGATCTCCAACCAATTCTGGAGTGCTTCAGTTCTGCTACTGTAAAAATCTTCAGTATAGCGCTTCACACTCTCTTTCTCGTCCTCCAA